CTCTTCAATGTGGTAGTTGGTTCTCGAGGGATGTTGGGCGACGCAGACTTCAACCTGCTACGTGAGGCTACGGATGCACCAAGAAAGGAGTGCACTTCCGCGTGTCTCCTGATTACAAGAACAACCATTTTAGGTTCCTTCTACATCTGGGGCTCTAGGAACGACTCACCTGACTTCATCAAATGGCTTCTGTGTGTATATATGTATGTTTAGTACTAGTGAGGCCAGGTCAATGCGCGCCACATTCGTCATGTGCCTAGAGCTCTGCCTGGGTGCACCTCACACCTCATTGTTTGTTTGTTTGTATATGCAAAACAATGAAGAGTTTTTTTTACACACACGAGAGAGAGAGAGAGAGAGAGAAGAGAGAGAGAGAGAGAGAGGAGCTATGCATAAAGGGGAGCCTACTGGGAAATAGACTGCTGTGTATTGATTGAAGCTGTGACTATTATGTCTAGGTCTTTCGTAATGTAGGGTGCCCCAAAATTAAATACTAGCTATGGACGTCCTGGATGTACCTGCTGGGTAGACTGACACCAGTGTAATATCCAGGCAAAGGTTTAAAAGTGATACAGTCACAGTAGTGGTGTACTTTCTCATAAAGAGAAATGGATTGTTAACCATGGGGGTAAGGCAGACTAGCATATATGCTGTGAAATATTATGTTAGGTCTTTCGTTATACTGTGGGTGCCCAAATTAAATACTGGCTATGGGGACGTCTGGATGTACTGCTGGGTAGCTGACACCAGTGTCAAAGTCCAGGCAAAGGTTTAAAAGTGATACAGTCACAGTAGTGTGTACTTCTCATAAAGAGAAAGGGATTGTTAACCATGGGGGTAAGGCAGACTAGCATATATAGTCAGCTTTCAGACCTGGTGATGACGTGTATTCCAGGGAGAAGTTTGAAGACTCTGTTGGAGCCGATTTGTAAGTACTGGAGCTTGGTAATATACTGGTCCAGAGTTCAGGCAGGGAGTCCGGGACAGGAGATACAAAGCAGGCGAGGTTGGAGTCACATAGTTGACTTGCTGAGAGCCAGTAGCTGCACCAGTGGATGAGACCAATAGGGCCAGACACAGCACCAAGGACAAGATACCAATATTCATCCTCGAACTGTACAGATACATCACTTGCAAACTGCACAAACAACAGCAGTCTTTATATACACATAAATCCGCCCTTTACAATGGGAACTTGTGTTCGCAGATAAAATTATGTGTATATACTCTGATATCCACCCACACATTATAGTAGCTTTCTTTTCCCAATGCAGAAGTATGGGTATGAGTGGGCACACTCAGAGACTGAGTTCTTCAGGCTAGGCTGTTTCCAGAGACAGTGTTCTTTTTCTTAGACCAGAAACATAGTACTCTAAACCAACAGCCATCCACCTACACAACCACCCCTCAAAAGTTCACGGCATCAATACGATCTCAAAGAGAGAAGAGAAAGAGGGCCCAAAAGAAATTGGCTGGCATCTGTGGTTCACCATGATTATGTGCTATGTAGCTAACAGTAGCTAGGCATAAAGCTATAGTGCTTAGTTTCAGCCTTACCCCAATCCATTTCTCTCTATATACCTTACCACTATTGTGACTGTATCAACTTTATTTACCACTGCTGAGATTTGTCTGGATATGGTTGGTTACTGCACAGGCACACTGGCGTTTTGTGGACCCACATTGTTCATGTACTGTTCATCCATGAACCTTCTTATTTAAGAACTGTGGCATGAGCTGTGCAAGGGCAAGTGTCGTAAAAAAACTGACCTGTGCAACTGCATGCCAGTCACAAATGCCTGCTGCATAGCGGAAATTACTGTCACTTTCTCATGGTCATAATTTCCCCCAATTTCCGCTATTCAGCAGGCGGGGTTAGAGAGCCCGCCGCTCTGCGCTCCACCACGCACACACTACTATACCGCACCGGTGCGTCGCCGCACCCGCGCACGGTGGCGCGCGCATGCGCAAACGCAACACCCTGCGCGTGACAATGCGTTACGCGCTACAGTTGAACTGTCTGCAGCTGACCTTTCACAATGCACAGTTTGTTATCTGACCCCTGTGGGCTCTCTGTGCTAACAGTGCAATGTAAATGGTCTCAGTTGGCTTTACCTGGCATTCCTCATGATTGACATTGTTTAATTAACCCCAAATCCAGGACATCATACAATTATTTTGCCCTCTGTTGCATTGCGTTCACACACATCAATATTACATTGCTACTGTAAAACTTTAACCGAGATTGCAGTTACATGCAACTATAAGCGCCGTCCTCAAGACACAGCACCTGCAAAGAAGTGTCTGTTTCCCAACATTGATCAAAACAATCAGCTCCGGCACCCACCACCCTACTCTGGACTAGGCTAGTGATCAGAGCATTGCAGAGTTTAATCCCCGACACAGAGTTGACAACAGTGTTGAAATTGACCGTAGTACCTCGAGCCTTGTCAATGCCTATTCAAACAGCTCCAGAATTGGTCACAATATTGTGGAGTATGGTGGTCGTCCCCACATTAATTAATTCCATTCCTGACCCCCCAGTGCTGTTTACTGTACTGTTGGTTACTTTATAGCGTCTGAACTGCATCACTCACTACTATTCCTCTCTGATTCGCTCCCTGAATGAACGTCTGAGACGCAAGTGCTCACAGTGTGCTCCTAAATTCGATTCTGTTGCCAGTTACGCCATACACAACACTGCTGCGTATTGCGGTGCGATTGGAGCCCATTACTGCAATTCACTCCCATTGGCATTGCTAACTGAAACACTTGAGAAAAGAGTGTGCCGTGCTCTCTCCAGCTGGATTCCATCTGACCCAGTGCCATTTACAGACACCTCAAACACTATAGTTTTCACTGTCTTCCTCAGTACAACTCCTACTTTCGTTGCACCGTCTATCTGACACTGGGCGATCTCAGTGTTTATTGTATTTTGCGTGGGCGAATCAAAGGCGCCGCCAGTACTATATTCATCATACAGAACGGTTTTTGAATGAACTGTACTATATCGCGCGGAACTGTACTATATCACACGAACTGTACCGCGGACTAGTGTATATATATACGCTTTGCGGGAATGACGCCTCGGCGGCCTTTCGTAGAGGGAGGTCGACTCAGACGGTGACACAAACAGCTGCTGGAAGGGCGCTCCGCGAGCTTCTAGTCCTTCTGAACTTGCAAAAAAAAGATTTTCCTGGCCGCCGCCTTTTGAACTATATCCGCGGACTAGCGTACGCTTTGCGGGAATGACGCCCTCGGCGGCCTTTCGTAGACGGAGTACGACTCAGACGGTGAGCACAAACCGCTGCTGGAAGGGCGCTCCGCGAGCTTCTCGTCCTCTCTTCCGTTCTGAACGCCGGTTTTCCTGGTCGCCGCCTTTTTTGAATCGCCCACGCATACAATAAATTACTTAATGTACGGAAGCACGTGCTGTGCGCGTGATAATGGTACTCGGAACGTGGTCTCGATAGATCATACAGCAACTCGGCTGCGCCTCGTTCTGTATGACTATCTCGACCACGCCCCTCGTACCATTATTACGCGCAGAGCACTGACTTCCGTACATTAACAATTACTAATAGCATTGCTCACGTAAATTCTCCTGTTTTAGCATACCTTACAGAAGTGTAGGATATGTTCGTATGTTTTGCCACTCTCCATGTGAATTCCGTCTGAGCAGTTAGCTAACAACTACCCGTGAAAATCACTATTGTTTGCCTTGAGTTTTGAAAGACTATTCCATTGGAAACAGAGTTGTTAACTTCAAGAAAGCTGATACTAGTAGCCAATGGGTTTATGAACTTCATCCAACTTTCTCCACTGTTATTCACAGTCATGAAATAGATATCGGTGTGTCTTGCATCGTGCAAACTAAGACCATTCGAACTGGAATTGCTGATGCGAATGTAAGACAGGCTAGTGAAAGTTGTGTTGTGTAAGGTCATAGCTACCTGAGTCCTGGCTATTGTAGAACAAACAGTGAGTGAGGTTTGCATTCTGGGCTTCATTCAGCAATATTCCACTGCTCCCAGCGTGATCAACGAGCACCTGAATCATCAGTGTGTTGCCTGTGTCGAGCAAATGGATTCCGTTTGAGTCAGTGTGATTCACAATCGTCCGGAGTGCAGTTACTCGTCTCGTTCTGACGAGTCTTAGTCCGTTTCATGTGGAATTGTGGACGGATACGTTCTGAAGAAGACAGCGACGAACGTCGTGCAGGACAATTCCGTGTCCTTCGCAACACGTTGACACGCGTCAGAGATAGACGCACTGTTCGCTCAAAATATAGTCCAAAGCCAACAGTTTCGATGCCAGTCACGCTTACATCGGCTGAGAGTATAAAGATAAAAGCGGCGTAATAATAATTATTCGCCCGACGCGACGAGAAGTTGCACCAGCGGGTTAGCATCGCCCTCAGCAGAACCTTTAAGAGTGATATTCTCCACATTCCGCGCGACGAATGGTCTGGATATTGTGTGCTTTCCAGGGAGAAACTTAATCACTGTGTCGGAAGTGATGTACGTGTTGTAGCTGGTGATGTACTGCTCCAGCGTGAGGCAGGGCTCAGATCCAGGGCAGCGACTGGAGGCAGGCGAGGTAGGGGTGACATAGAGCAGTCTGCTTTCTGCACTTGCTGCTAGGGCAGCCAGGTACAATACTAGGTTGCAATGAAAAGCGCTTGAAAGTGCATAACCCTCGCCACTGTTAATTATGGGAATATTGAACTTTATTCCAATCATCCTTGTCCACATTATTCTGGACATGCGTTTTCAATACTAGCTACTACTACAGCAAAGTGAAAAGATCTTGACAGTACATAACCCTCAGTCACCACTTTATTCTTTATTTCAGCAGCCAATGGCTACTAGCTACCTGGATAGCTACACTATCTCAGTGACTCCTGTGACGGTAGTAAAACTCGCGCTCGCTAATTAGCTAGTCGGCCCCGGAGCCGCGCCGCGCTCCGTCTAACACAGTGCGAGGTCCTCTAGCTACGTAGCTGTGGAAAATGCTAGTGGTAAGCTACTCCCGGCCACGGCTCCTGCTAGCTGCTCTGATGTGTCTGTGTAGTTGGATGACACTGACAGTGGAAGGTAAGGTCTGTGACTCTGGATCGGCGGGAAGAATTCGCTAGTTTGTTTTTCTCTACTGTGATTCTTCCTCCATCACCTGAAAATATTAGTGTTGCCTGTCAGCGGCTGAATTTCGTTGTTCGTTTCTGTCATCTCTCCACAGGACTGACTATAACTGTGAATGATGGTCAAATATCCGTTTCTAATGACAACATGACGAGAATCAGTGTGTATGACTTTGAGTTTGTGAATTCAAATAGTGATTTCAGTAGAGCTATGAGGTGTCAGTCTGAACAGCCTGTCTCTGAAGTCGGTGGTACTTATGGATGTCATGTTGATGATGGAGATACTCCAATCCCTTGTTTTTATCCAGAACCAGAGTACATAGCACATACTCCTAGTAGTTGTTGTATAACTCGAGGATGGAGTACAAGGAGAGAAGACGAAGATGGTCATAAAGTACACTACTTGTGGAGAAGGAGGGAAACTCCAGAGGAAGGGTATATCAACTGTCATTTTCCTGATGACATTAACCCTGTATTAGGACTGTATGTCGTCTATCCCAGTGAGTAGCCATCTCTCGTGATGATATATATAGTGAGAGATATTCTGGTATGATTCCTCTCCTCCAGTCACTGAGATAACTGCAGCTATTGAGGTGGAGGCAGGAACATTGACATTCAGAGTGAGGTGTAACTCCACTGGTGGTAGAGCTCTCAACATGGCTGTCTCTGGACCTAATGGATACAACTCTGACATCAGTACCAAAACACAGCCAGTTCGTACTCCACTGTAATGACATGTACACTGCCAGGACAGAAGTTATATCCAGTGGCACGGTTGGAGGTGTATTCCAGTGCAATGTCACTAATTTTGCATCAAACTTTAGCAGTGTGATTTTGAGAGGTAACGGCTCTGACAGTATCCCTTTCTATTACTGCTGCCTGTTTCTCTACAGTTGCTACAGCTCCAATCCTCGATCCACTGGTTCAAACAGCTCCCACTGCCGTCAGAGTTACATGGACTGCACCATCTGAAATCTCAATAACTGGCTACAGAGTCCACTACTCTCTTTCTGGTTCAAGTGTGACTATGACTGATATTATGAGCTCTACAACTAGAGTCATCTCTGGTCTCACTAATGGAAGGACCTACACCTTCTCAGTAGAGGTTATCACCAGCAACATGCTACTTGGAGTATCTGAGGAGATTACTATTACACTGGGTGAGTGGTTACAACTGCGGTTTACTCCTACCATTCCCTTCCTCTCTCTCTCTCTCTCTCTAACACAGCTCCTGACACTCCTAAAGATGTGATGACTGCTGCAGAATCATCGGCAGTCACTGTGTCCTGGGGAGCAGGTGGATGATGCTAACAGATATACTGTCACATTCTCCATGGTGCAGGGAACCAATCAGGAGGGACTGTGTCTTACTGACTCTCATACTGCCACTCTGACAGCAACCTCCACTACTGTCAGTATTACTGTAGGAGGAGATGTGGGGTCAACAGTGACTGATGAGTTGAGAGCCTACACCACATATGAGGTGACCGTGGAGGCAGTCAGTGATATTCGAGGTACCAGTCGACCCAGTGAGACCAGGAGAGTTCTAACACCACAGACAAGTGAGACACACTGAGGATTGTGGTCTCACAGTCCGTGTGTGTATGTCTGTATGTGTATGTACAGGTGCAAGAGAGGCTCCTGGGGATGTGATAGCAGAGGCTGAGAGCTACACTGAGATCTCTGTCCAGTGCAGTGGCCTCTCCAACTGTAGACTGGTCAATGGTCAAATCACTCAGTACAGAGTTCAATATGAGACTTATTCCACGACTGAGACTAGAGACTATACTCTGGGAAATAGTGAAAACTGGAACAGTGGAAAACGAGTAACTCTGACAGAACTGACTCCCTCCACAAACTACTCCATATCAGTAGCTGCAGTGAATGAGAATGGAGATGTTGGACTCTACTCTGACCCTGTGACAACAATGACACGCGAATGTACTACTAATTATGCATCAGTTGCTATAATTTTGTGACCCTTATGGTACAGATAGTTGTGAATCTGCTGATAGTCTCCAGTCATCTGGTTCAACTGGTGTGATTGTTGGAGTGGTGATAGGCCTACTTGGTGTAGCAGTGGGTGTCTCTGGACTCATTGGTGGAGCAGTTATTGTCAAAAGACGCAGGTATACATTACCACTAGTGTCTTTATTATATGCCTATTCAGTCATGCTCTCTACACTATGTTACAGACCAGCTGAGGTCAAGGGAGATATGGCACCAGGGGCTAACCCTGCGTATATAGCTAGCCCGTGTCAGACTCTCTGCGAGCTACTTCGCCGAGGGTTTGCACTTTAGTGCTTTTCATTAGTCCATGTAGTGACATGCATTCTGTGTGGGCCTTTTATAAAAAGTGCAAGTATTGTGTGACTGTATGCCATCTAGTTTGCTAACTGGAAAACGTGTCATAGAACAAACCAGCAGGGTCTAAAGAAGACTATATCCCTGCTCATAAATAATACTGCATGCTCATGCTTGTTACCCTCGGCGCGCATGCGCAGCGAGGGTACAGTAGTTTGTTTGTTTGTCTGTTACACTCTACATCTCACTCCTCGAACGTCTGTTCGTCCCAGAAACGATACCATCTACCCAACGGGCGACGAAGGTCAGAAAATAAAGGCGGTTTTCTCTGAAAATGCTCCGTTGCAAAGCTAGAGCGCGAAAAAGCCAATATGCAAATACACAACGGCTTACCACGATCCGCGTGATGTGCGTACTTCGGAGGCACCAGAGGATGCAACGCAGGGCGTGTAGCTATCGCCTCTCGCATGCTATCTAGTAGTTTAGTTAGCCCGCGTCAGACTCTGCGCGAGCTGGCAAGAGACCGTGAGTAAAACTAAACCCAGCCCATCAATTAGTGGTACGGCGCATGCGTTTACCTACGCGTCCGCGTCACAGTGCGCCGAGGGTTTTCACTTCAGTGCTTTTCATTGTGACATGTGTTTGGTCTGACATGTTTTTGCTTATTCTGGGTTGGCATTTGGGATATGTAAGCCCACCGCATGTTTGCCTCTCGGGACCAAATCATGAATGAAAAATATAATACCAAGGACAAAGAAACCATTGTCCCAAGAAACCTCTTGCTACTCGTGTGGAGGAAACACAATGAGGCCTTCTGCTCTGAATGTATGTGACGGGGCACTGCTGTGAGTAGCAAAACTCGTGCTCACCCTCACCCGTTCTAACAGTGCGAGTCCTCTAGCTGTGGAGAAATGCTAGTGGTAAGCTG